AAACTTGCATTACCATTAATTTTTTTTAATGTAGAAAAAATTGTTAATGCATTAACACATTTAATGCATTTATCCCAGGTCTGTTATTATTGCTTCAAAAAATTTGCATTTCATCAGGCCATCTAATTTTGTTGTTGGTTGTTAAAACAAGCCTGCAGGCGTGTTGTTGTTTATATAATGTATTTGTGCGTTTTTGTTTTGTTTTGTATAGTGACGTCACTGTTTTTGCATATTGTTTTGAGGGGAGTTGATGCTTTTTTGATGTTGGTGTTTAGTTTGTTATTGTGACAGCATGGTTATGTTGTTGTTGCAGTTTGTCATTATAATGTTTTTTACAGGTGTGTTGTTATTTATGAATTGTATTTGTGCGTGTTTTGTTTTGTTATATTGACGCCAGTGTTTTTGCATTTTGTTTCGAGAGAGGTTAATGCTTTTTCACTTACTGAGTTTTTTGATGTTGGCGTTTATTTTGTTATTGTGACAGCATTGATTTTTTGTTGTTCTTGCAGTTTGTCATTATAATGTTTTTTGCAGGCGTTGTTTATGAAATGTATTTTTGGGTTTTTTTGTTTTGCTATAGTGACGTCACTGATTTTGCATTTTGTTTTGAGGGGAGTTGATGCTTTTTCACTTACTGAGTTTTTTGATGTTGGCGTTTATTTTGTTATTGTGACAGCATTGATTTTTTGTTGTTCTTGCAGTTTGTTATTATGTTTTTTGCAGGCGTGTTGTTGTTTATGAAATGTATTTTTGCGTTTTTGTTTTGTTATGGTGACGTCACTGTTTTTGAAGTTTGTTTTAAGGGGAGTTGATACTTTTTCACTTACTGAGTTTTTTAATGTTGGCGTTTATTTTGTTATTGTGACAGCATGGATTTGATGTAGTTGTTGCAGTTTGTCATTTTCAGGATGCACTAAGTAAGCTGAAATCGTTAAGGAAATGAATGGAAGCATGTACAGCCCCAAATATTTGAGAACATATAAAACGTGACTTTTTGGTACTTTTTCCTTCTTCAAAAGGTACCATTCCGAGTCCTAAGGAAATGAAAATCAGTAGGAAATGATTTTTGGTACTTTTGCATTCTTTAACGTTTTCTTTTTCTTCTTTTTCGTGTTCCTAGTTTTTATATTTGTGTTAAAAATCTTCGGTTTTGGGGAGGGAAAATTACCCTTTTTACCACCCCCTCTCCCCGTGCCTTAAAATGCTTATAAGTTAAAACTTTCCTAAGAGTTTTAACCTCAAATTGTTTTTTTCATTTGTGTCTCAATTTTTGCACATTGCCACATGCTTTAATTGCACATTTTGAAGACATTGTAAATTATTATGTACATATGTATGTAAGTATGCATAGTTACATATGTATGTTCCTTTAATCAAACTAATTTTCCATTTAAGTTAAATAAAACTTTTATATGCTTAAAATATTTTGCGCATATGTGAATACACAAGTGAGCAGGAAATAAATTCGATATGACATACTACTCCAAAATGTATTTATACCCTACACCACTTTAGTGGGGAGGGTATATTGGATTTGTGCTGATGTTTGTAACATACAAAAATATTCGTCCTAGACCCACCTTCAAGTATACCAATCGGCTTAGAATCGTTTTCTGAGTCGATTAAGCTATGTCCGTCCGTCCGTCTGGCTGGCTGGCTGGCTGTCCATGTAAACCTTGTGCGCAAGGTACAGGTTGCAATTTTCAAGATAATTGAAAGGACGAAGCCTATTGAAAATGGTTAAAATCGGTCCATTATTTCACCTAGCCCCCATAGAACAGAACCCTCCGAAAAGGGCTTCTGAGCTCATAATTATGTTTAATATACAGATATATCGATAAAATATTGCACAACTAAGTTTTATAGAAGTCTTGATGACCCTGCCAAATTTCATAAAGATCGGGCCACATTTGACCCTAGCTCCCATACAAAGTCCCCTTCAGAAAATTACTTGAATGTCCCAAATTAGCTTATAAACACAAATATCGCGATGAAATTCAGCACAATAAAATATTATGTCAATATAAATATATTCACAAAATTTTATCGGGCTTGGTCCATATTTGCCCCTAGCCCCCATATAAAGCCTCTTTCAGAAAATTAGTTTTTCTTTCATAAATTACTTAAATGTATCGGAACAAGGGACTATTGAAGATAAATGCTTTATTATGAAAAATAAATCACATTTAATATTCATAACTGGTGTAGGGTATCATATGGTCGGCCACGCCCGACTATACTTTCTTACTTGTTTTACATTAAAAACTTCTATGAACTTTTAAAATTAAGTAAATAATACTAGTAGACTTACTTAAGTCAAATTTCATCGGGATATTAGGACATTAGCAAATTAATATTGAATGTTAATGTGATTTTCTGAAGGGGGGTTTATATGGGACCAATAAATGGTCCGATTTTAAGAAAACTTTTTAGAGTGTAATCGAACTGATTCGTAATTAAAAATATATTATAGTTTAAGCGATATTTAAGAAGGGCATTTACCTGGACCGTTTTCAAAAATTTTGAAACTTTTTCAAGTTGTCCGAAAATTGCAACTTGTGCTTTAAACATATTGATAACATGGACCCGCAATAGAAGGAATATCTTAAAAAAAACTCAAAAAATAATTCTAAGTCTATCGGTGACCAATATTTTCATGCATTACAAATATCAGCATAAACTTATTATACCCAACCTCTCGAAAGTAATTGTGTAGAGTATAATAAGAAAATAAGTTGTCAACAGATGAAGGAATTAAATAAACTTTGATGCAACATCGTAAATTTGCCAGTAACTCCAGCAATAAAAGTCAATTATAAGTTGATGTCTTCCTGCTTCGAGCAACACAACCGCACAGAGACTAAAAGCAGCAACAAATCATCATGATGATGTATAAATTTTGAAATTTAAGATGAAGTCTTTAAATAAACATATACCGGAAAATTTATATTTAGGCAATCTTATTATTATTTTTTTTTTAAATTTCTACGCATAAATATTTAAATTTCAACATATAAGACTTCTCCTAATACATTTACATTAAATCCATTTCAATCCTGAACTTTTTTTGTTTTTATTAACATTTTAATTTGCAACACCCAACTATTTACCTTTTCTTTTATATATTTAAAGTTGATTTCCTTTATTTTTATTAATTTCTACGAAATGCTAAATACTATTTAACCACAAAAAATAAAAACTTTATAAAGGATTTAATGCTTACTTAATTGTTGCTCAACTCAATGTCTTTCATTGTGATTTCCTGTGGTAGGAAATCCTTATACTTACATATAAAAAGAAAACTAACTTGAATGGAAAAATTAAATTTTACCAACTTGTATTTAGGTCATAATGTGGCAACTTGTTGCTGCAATGCAGAAATGTCTATAGGAGGTACTTTAAATTGCTATTTTAATTTTTCTATTAATGTTTGTGGAACAAACTGTAACTGTGTGATAATACTTTTTGGAAATATATGTATATATTTGGTAAACATATAGTTAATACTATAGTCAGAACTATAGGTTATACATATAGTAGAGACCATAAAGAAGACTATAGTCAAGGCTATATATAGATCCGACTAAAGTCAATACTCTATACTAGACAATAGACCAGAATATAGTCTCAATAGTGAAGACTATAGACTAGATTAAAGTGAAGTGAAGAATATTGTTTAGATCAGACTATAGCCAAGACTCTAGAAAACACAATGTACAAGATATAGTCAAGGCGTAAGACCAGACTATATTATACTTACATATATTATACAGTAGTCAAGACTATAGATCAGCTTAGAATCCCGACTACAGATTATAATATAGACAAGTGATAAACCAGACTATAGTCAAGGCAGTAAATCTTACTCTATTTCCGACTAGACTATAATCAATACTATTGTCCTGATTATAGTTAAGTCTATAGATCAGATCAAAACTATTGATGGGATATAGATTATACTATACCAGTCTTAGATCAGACTATAGACAAGTCTACAGTAAGACTATAGACCAGCCTATAGTCAAGACTATAGACTACAATATGTACAGGACTATTAACCAAATTATAGATGAGGCTATAAACTAAACTACAGATCGACAAGACATTAAGCCAGACATAGCCAAGGCTATAGATCAGACTATAGTCTAGATAATAGCCTTCACTACAGCCACAATTATAGACCAGAATATAGTCAAGACCAGACCAATGGACCAGACTATAGAAAATATTATAAACCAGACTATAGCCCAACTATAAGCTACATAACAACCAGAACTATAGAGTAGAGAACTATATAGTCAAGACTTTAAACCAAAATATATATATCGGACTATGGGTGAGGCTATAAACCAGATCATGCTATAGACAAGCCAGAAATTATCAAGGCTATAGATCAGACTATAGACTTGATTACAGCTAGGATTGTAGACAAGAATATATTCAAGATTATAGACCAAACTGTGGACCATACAATAGTCAAAACTATAGGCGATAAACCAGAAATAGTCAAAGCTATAGATCAGACTATAGACTTGATTACAGCTAGGATTGTAGACCAGAATATATTTAAGATTATAGACCAAACCGTGACCAGACAATAGTCAAAACTGTAGACTAGATAACAACCAGGACTATAGAGTATACTACTGTCAAACCTATATATGTATCTACTTGTAGTCAAGACTATAAACCAGAATATATATTATATACTACATACGACAGACCATAGTCAATACCATATACCAGACTTTTATCAAGGCTATGGTCAATACTATAGACCAGATTAAAGTCAAGTCAATACTATGCCTATTTATAAAATATTGCGGAATAAAAAAATTAAAGAATCAAAATATTTAATGTTCAGATAACTTATCCGAATCTGCAAACAAAATCTAAAACTCAAGCCGATATTTTAAGAATCGAGAACGTTCAAGCAGTAGCTGGTAAAATATTTACATATTTTTCAAAAATATATTTATTTAAAAATAAAATTCTCTTAAACTAAACATTTAGTAAAATTAAGAATTTTAAGCCCAAAAATCACTTTCACTATCATCGGCCAGATTTTTAGCATTTTTATTTTGATCACCAGTAGATATTTCCAAATCGGAACTAGAATGCGTAGAAGTACTATCACCTAATTCAACATCAATTGGAGCAAATGTACGATTAGATTCAGTTAATATCTCGCCTATTTCTTTGCCATTAACGGGACTATATAAATTTAAATCTGCCATTTTGGGAGAATCATCAATTTGACCAAATTCCTGTGGTAATTGTGAATCGGTCTGATGATATTTTTTATTAGGAGAGGGTAGTGGATGTAATTCACTTGTCTCCGTAGAATCTGAAAGCTGACCCAGTTCATTATGTTCCAGTGGAATTTGTTCTTTCTCTTTTGTCTCCCTTTTCGTTAATTCTTCTTCATCTATTTCCTTAATTGTTTCGGCAGTCATTTCTATTTCAAGTTGTTTGGAATCGAAACTGTCCTCACTTTCACTAGATAAATTAAGCATAGAAGGCGCTGAAGTATTTGAGATACGATTTAAATTTACAACATTTTCCAGAATTTGTGGATGATTTCTCTCCTTCCTTTCTTCACTAGTTTGGGTTGTAATTGTAGTAGCGGTGTTTGTTGAAGTTACAGTGGTGGTTAGACTTTTATCCAAAGCGTCACTAGGACGTTCAAGTAAATGATATTTATTCGTAAAGGTTTTATCTTCTCTCTGCAAATCCCTTTCCTGAGTTATTTCATTAACCATTTCTCTAAGAGTATCTTGAGATTTAGATTGTTGCTCGAAGAGCTGTTGCATTTTCGCCATAGATTGTTTGATCAATTGGGCGGTAGTATCAGTTTGACGTATGGGCTTTTCCTTTAGATCCAGTTTACCTTTTAAAGCTTTCTCCAAATCTTTACTATACATAGGAATAGGTTCATGGTATCTTAAGTTATGTTCTAAATCTTTAGTTCGTGTAGTAGTTTCCAATGTCACCTTTTCATCATGCTTGGGAAACAATTCCCTTCTTACACTTGCTGCAGCTTTATCTTCCATTTTTTGCGACTCGGGATTTAGCATAGGACTTAGCTCAATATCATGATCGTCATCTAAGGTTTTATCTTTAATATTAATTTCCGATAAACTTGATTTTAAATTTTCTTGTTTCCTCTCCTTGTGATCATTAACTTTTTCACTAAACTGAATATTAGTTTCCGATGTACCTTGACCAAAATTTTGATTAAAATAATCCGGCAATTCATATATCTCCGGATATTTTTCCAAATGCTTCTGTAATAAATTTCCATTACGTATTTCTTCACCCTGTTCTCTACATTTTCGTATGGTATTCTCATGTTCGAAAAATTTCAGTTTAGCCTCGAGTATAGCATTTCGCACTTCCAGGGAGGAGGTAGAACTTTCACTTTTGGAGCTTTTTGGTTTTTCAATTTGTTCATGACCTTGTCGCAGAGTTTCCTTAAGTCGTTCAAATTCTTCATCGATTTCTTCGTCTACGTAGTCTACAAGTTTATGAGGCCTTTTGTGATCTTTGAATAATCTAGCACTAATAATTTGATTCTCTTGTATGCTAACGTTTTCTTGATAGTTCTTCCTGCTTTGTCCTTCCTGGTCTTGGTCTCGTTTGCGTCGCTCCAAATAAGACTGAAAGTTTTGTTCCAATTGATTGCTTTCATTTTCCAATTGTTGAATGCGTAATCTAAAATAAAGAATAGTTAGTTAGTTAGTTAGTTAGTTAGTTAGTAGTTAGTTAGTGTAGTTAGTTAGTTAGTTAGTTAGTTAGTTAGTTAGTTAGTTAGTTAGTTAGTTAGTTAGTTTAGTTAGTTAGTTAGTTAGTTAGTTAGTTAGTTAGTTAGTTAGTTAGTTAGTTAGTTAGTTAGTTAGTTAGTTAGTTAGTTAGTTAGTTAGTTAGTTAGTTAGTTAGTTAGTTAGTAGTTAGTTAGTTAGTTCGTTAGTTAGTTAGTTAGTTAGTTAGTTAGTAGTTCGTTTGTTCGTTCGTTCGTTCGTTCGTTCGTTCGTTCGTTCGTTCGTTTCGTTATTCGTTCGTTCGTTCGTTCGTTCGTTCTTCGTTCGTTCGTTCTTCGTTCGTTCTTGTTCGTTCGTTCGTTCGTTCGTTCGTTCGTTCTTCGTTCGTTCGTTCGTTCGTTCGTTCTTCGTTAGTTCGTTCGTTCGTTCGTTGTTCGTTCGTTCGCTCGTTCGTTCGTTCGTTCGTTCGTTCGTTTTCGTTCGTTCGTTTCGTTCGTTCGTTCGTTCGTTCGTTCGTTTCGTTCGTTCGTTCGTTCGTTTTCGTTGTTCGTTCGTTCGTTTGTTCGTTCTTTTGTTCGTTCGTTCGTTCGTTCGTTCGTTCGTTCGTTCGTTCGTTTCGTTCGTTCGTTCGTTCTTCGTTCGTTCGTTCGTTGTTCGTTCGTTCGTTCGTTCGTTCGTTCGTTCGTTCGTTCGTTCGTTCGTTCGTTCGTTCGTTCGTTCGTTTCGTTCGTTCGTTCGGTTCGTTTCGTTCGTTCGTTCGTTCGTTCGTTTCGTTCGTTCGTTCGTTCGTTCGTTCGTTCGTTCGTTCGTTCGTTCGTTCGTTCGTTCGTTCGTTCGTTGTTCGTTCGTTTCGTTCGTTCGTTCGTTCGTTCGTTCGTTCGTTCGTTCGTTCGTTCGTTCGTTCGTTTGTTTGTTTGTTTGTTTGTTTGTTTGTTTGTTTGTTTGTTTCCTTCTTACCTTCCTTTGCATCATAATTATATGATCCACAGAACGTCCTTGATCTACTATTGTCCTGGCCATATCTACGATTTCCTTCTGAGTCTTTGATACATCCTTTAATAAGGATACCGGATCTTCTGTCTCATGATCAGGCTTAGACAATATTGGGGGATCTTCAGTCTTTTGTATCGTATTGCTAATCTGAAATATATATTTTTAATTTTCCAAAGAAAGCTTTAGAAGTCAGTTATTCTACTCACCTCTAAATCTTCTTTAGTTACATCCCTCTCTAAGGATTTTTGTGACTCCTCATAACTGAAAGAATGGGGCTTTGATAAACTGCTTTCTTTTCTATTTTCTATTGGTTTAGGAGTTTCTTGTACATTATCTGATCTTATATCACTATTTGGGGGAATTTCTAAGCTAACTGTTCCTTGCACATATATGGATTTAAGAGTATCTCCCTTTACATGGATTTTCTATATTTTAAATAATGTTGTAAATATGATTTCAATCCTAAATATTTCAAATTCATTACATACCTCTTCTTCCGTTGATATAGCTTTCTCATCTTTTCGCTGCTGCTGCGCCTCTCGTAACTCTGAAGAAGATTCTTTTAACTTTTCCAACAATTCCATTTGTTTCTTTTCAAACTGTTGCAATTTCTTTTCAATGTTATCATTACATCTGCGAGTTTCTTCCAAATTTATTTTAGGATCTTGCAATAAGTGCTAGAAAAGTTTCGAGTAAAAATAAATGATTTTTAAAATTTTCGAAAATATAACCTACCTTTGATAGCTTTTGCTGATAATGCAATCTCATAAGACTTTTTAAATGTTTCATTTTAATATCCGTTTCACTTTGCATCTGTTCTCGATGTTTGGTTAAAGCTTTACGCAAAGAAATTTCCACCTATAAGAAATTCCAATTTTATAATTTGGTTCTTTCAACATGCTTTAATTTTTCCCCAACTTACCCTATTTAAAAATCTTTGACCATTTTCGGTATTACGCATTTCGTGAATCCATTCGCCATAGGTTTTTTCTTGTAACTCTGTTTCCGTTTGCTTCTCTTTAAATTTCACTTTATTCCGTTTCGGTTTTTCCTCTATAGGTTTCTCCTCCTCCCGACTACTTAAAACTTTGGTAACATTATCGAAATTTTGGGCACATTTACCAAATTGTTGTGTCAAATTATCTATAGATTCTACTATATTGGATAAACGTTTATTTTTACGTTTTGCCTGAGCCATTGCTTTCATATTTTCCGTTATACGTTCTAAACTTTTGTTCAGGGTGTAATACTCTCGCGATCGTGCAGATTTTAAAGTGCGCGATCTGGACTCATGCCGCTGTTTGGAAAATTGTTCAAACTCTCTAGTCATTTCAACTACTTTTTGGGACAGGGTTAAGAGATACTGATTAATATGTTGAAGATTTTCATCTTTGGCAGATTTCTTTTCCTGATCGGAAACTTGAGCCGAAATGGATTTATTTTCCTTCTCTTGTTTATCGGTTTGCACCTCAGCGTTTCTTTTTACATGATCCTCTGCTTCTCTTTTAAGTAGATATTTTATTATGAGCAAAAGCAAGGACATATTTTGGTTGGTTTCATAATTTTGTATAATATGTTTATTTAAATCTCTTTTGCTGGCTTTAGAACCTGTTACCGCTTGCCATATTTCCACAATTTCTTCATTATTGAAACGAAATCTTCGCATGCTTTCAAAATCGGGCAATGTATTGCGAAATGGTACTTCAGTGCAGAAAACGGATAGGGTAAAATGACAATTTTGTGCATAAAGAAATTCAGCTACTAAAGTATTTAAAGCCAATACCAAAGGTGAAAGGGTTAAACGCATGGTTGAACCTCCGGTGGAGGTCATGGTATGTGACATAATGTGTTTGCCTGGTAAAACAAAAGTAGAACGTTAGTTATCGAAATTTTTCCATAAACAGTACACAATTTATCAAAAAAGAATATTCATCGAAAAATTTTTATAAAAAATAATTTACACAAAAATTTTCTATCGAAACCCTATTTAGCATCTCGTCATCTTTTCTTATCATTAGCATTGCCCATAGCAACCAATATGACAAACAAAATTTGTAATGTACTAAATCTCCACCTTTTTTAATTACAGATTTTGATCTAGATATAATCAACATCCCTAAAACTTACCCAAATTTGTTTTATTGAAATTCTTTATAAGATCACTACGCAATTTAGCCTGCAGCGATCGGGCGACATCATCACGTTCCATCCAATTTTGGAAATATTTTTCAAATTCATTTGGCGGTATTTTAGTTAAATCAGCTACATTTTCTTTAAATTCCTTATGCGGTTCCATTTTATAATTGCATTTATTTCGTTAATATTTTTAAATGGCAAAATATTTTTTTATTATTATGAACTGAACAAATTCTATATTACTTTCTAAAATTTTGTTATAAATTATCTGTTTACTTCTCCAATACACCACCAACTTTTAAATATCGTTTAAAAAATTTAGCGGGTAGTTTTTTGTTTGTTTTTATTTCGAAATCATTCAAGTGTAACGGTTGAAATGTCAGCTAAAGAATTTAATAAACGACAGGTGTTGAATGTGTGTGTGTCATAAGGGGTATGTTCAGTGTAACAAAATTCAAGAGTTGCCAATAGGAAATAATTTAGCAACAAAGGTGCCTCGTACACAATCAAAAATTCCAAGGACCTTTGAGCGGGTGTAATAACCAATAACTAACTAACTAACTAACTAACTAACTAACTAACTAACTAACTAACTAACTAACTAACTAACTAACTAACTAACTAACTAACTAACTAACTAACTAACTAACTAACTAACTAACTAACTAACTAACTAACTAACTAACTAACTAACTAACTAACTAACTAACTAACTAACTAACTAACTAACTAACTAACTAACTAACTAACTAACTAACTAACTACTAACTAACTAACTAACTAACTAACTAACTAACTAACTAACTAACTACTAACTAACTACTAACTAACTAACTAACTAACTAACTAACTAACTAACTAACTAACTAACTACTACTAACTAACTAACTAACTAACTAACTAACTAACTAACTACTAACTAACTAACTAACTAACTAACTAACTAACTAACTAACTAACTAACTACTAACTAACTAACTAACTAACTAACTAACTAACTAACTAACTAACTAACTAACTAACTAACTAACTAACTACTAACTAACTAACTAACTAACTAACTAACTAACTAACTAACTAACTAACTAACTAACTAACTAACTAACTAACTAACTAACTAACTAACTAACTAACTAACTAACTAACTAACTAACTAACTAACTAACTAACTAACTAACTAACTAACTAACTAACTAACTAACTAACTAACTAACTAACTAACTAACTAACTAACTAACTAACTAACTAACTAACTAACTACTAACTAACTAACTAACTAACTAACTAACTACTAACTAACTAACTAACTAACTAACTAACTAACTAACTACTAACTAACTAACTAACTACTAACTAACTAACTAACTAACTAACTAACTAACTAACTAACTAACTAACTAACTAACTAACTAACTAACTAACTAACTAACTAACTAACTAACTAACTAACTAACTAACTAACTAACTAACTAACTAACTAACTAACTAACTAACTAACTAACTAACTAACTAACTAACTAACTAACTAACTAACTAACTAACTAACTAACTAACTAACTAACTAACTAACTAACTAACTAACTAACTAACTAACTAACTAACTAACTAACTAACTAACTAACTAACTAACTAACTAACTAACTAACTAACTAAAACTAACTAACTAACTAACTAACTAACTAACTAACTAACTAACTAACTAACTAACTAACTAACTAACTAACTAACTAACTACTAACTAACTAACTAACTAACTAACTAACTAACTAACTAACTAACTAACTAACTAATTAACTAACTAACTAACTAATTATTCATTAATTTTTCTTTTTTTAATTGAAATTTTTAATAAATTTTTTATTCTAAAAAAATTTTCGATAAATTTTCTTTTTGTAAAATATCTTCTATAAATTTTCTGTTGTTGAAAATATTTCTGAAAATTTTCCCAAAATCGGTATAACCAAAAAACCCTTAATCTGGCATCCCAAACACACACTGTTGACATATTAAAAAAACAGCTGTCAATTTGGAATGTCTGTTAAAACATAACTTTTTATTTAACTTTTTAATTTTAATTTAAATTTGAATTTGAATTTCATTGATTTTTTACTACAATTTCTATAATAACATATTTTAATTGGAAATTGTACCCCTGACATTTTTACCATGATTGTACCTATTTGATTATAATTTAACTTTGCGCCGAACGTCTTTCAAAATCTAAACAATTTTTAAAAATTTAAATCAACTTTTTACAATTTGTCAATTTAACGGAATTCTGTTAATAACATCCACTGCTTCGTTAACAGAGTTCACCAACGCAGCAACACTATTGTCCATGGAAACGAACATTTATTTATTTTCAAAAATATTTTAACACAGCAATCGTTGTTCCTTTTGTTAAATTGAAAAATTAAAATTTAAAAACAGAAAAAAAAATTATTTTTTTTGCAAAAAATCTTATAAAATTTAATTTTTTCCTTTAATTTCCTTAAAATAAAATCCGTTTTCGTACCAACATGTCGGCAGATTTGAAAAAGTTGGATAACAAAAATGAAGATGTAGTCAAACCTGGTGCATTTACTCGAGCACCTAAGCCGATAGTCTTATCTTCCCAGCGTTTTAATAAAATTGTTAATAATGCTACCACCACGGATCATTCAAAGGCTGTTGCAGAGGCGGAAGAGATTCAAAAATACAAGGAGCAGCTGAAGGCGGGCAATGATGAGTTAGTGGCTCAATTTAAGGGCAATATGCAGAGAACCCAGGAACAGAAGTTGCAGCAGATTAAAGAGCAAATGGATAAGAAAAATAAACAAGGTACATTTATAAATTTGCTACAAAATTATTAAGAATTCCTTTGAAATTGAAATCGTTTATAAGTTTATAAAGTCGAGAAGTTCAATTTCGAAAAAGTAATTTAACTCCAAATAAAAGTTACTTTCATTAAAACATCTTCCAGGCATCGCCGACTATGAGCAGGCTAAAGAAAACGAAGCACAGAAGCGTCAAGAGAAAATTGCTAAAGCTCAACAGATTATGGAACGCCTTAAGCCAGGTCCGCGAGAATTACATAGCGCTGTGCTACAAAGTGAAGTGTTGAGAGCCCGCAATGTACAACGCAGCATAAATGAAGAATTCGAAAAGGTAGCGTTAAAACAAGAACGTGAAACTAAGAAAATGTGTAATGAACAAGCTTTAAGTTGGATTGGTGAGGAGCAACAACGTCTCAATGAACGTCAAAAGAATACTATTGCCTATAAGAAGGAACTATTGCAGACCATCAATGAAAATCAAAAACAACGTTATGAACAAAAGAGACAAATGATAAAGGAGCAACAGGCCGCCAGAGAAGCTACCGATTTAGAGATCAAAGCACAAATCGAAAAGGAAAAGGCTATAATGGAAAAGAAAAAGGAAGCTTTAAGGAAGAATGCCTTGGAAGCAATGAAAATGGTGGAACAGAGGAGATTAAGTAAGTAGAAGGGGTTGCCTAAGGGATTTCAAACTCTTTTTATAAAAAAAATTTCGGAAAACTTCTCTTTTTTATAAAATAAGTTTTTTTATTAAAAAATCTAAAATTTCTCTTATCGTAAAAAGTTTTAGGAATTTTTTTCTTTTTGTAGAAAATTGTTGGAAAATTTTCGGAAAATTTCTCATTCTATGGAACATTATCGGAAAATTTCTCATTATTTTCTCTTACAGGAGATCGTATGGTAGAAGAAGTCGAGGATCGTTTATGTTGCGTTTACAATACTGGCAAAAGCCAGTTAGATGCACTACGAGCCGAACAGACCAAGAAACTAGCTAACGAGCAACAATTAAAGATAGAGGCAGAAGTTAAGAAATTAACCAATATCGAAGACAAATCTAAAGCCCTCGAATCTGAACGTGTAAGACGTGACATCACAACAATGCAATTGAAATTTACCGCTGAAGAACAGGAGAAGGTACGCAAAGATAAAGCTGCCAAACAGGCTCGCATAGAGGCTTATCTCAAAGAAATGGAACAACAAAAGGAGGCGAAACGTAAATTGGACGAAGAAAAACGTTTCGATATGGCTCAACGTTTCAAAAATACCGAAGTCAATTGTTTATTCAATGAAAAACAAAGAGCCGAGAAATTGCGGCAATTCCAAGATGTACGTACTCAACTCAACCAGCAAATTGAGGAAAATAAAACACAAAAATTGGCTGAAAAACAAGCTGCTATTAGTTGCTCGGATAACAGTGTGGAGAAAGAACATAAATTCTTCCTGGAATATGCTCGTAATCTTATGGAAGATGCTCAACAAAAGGGTAGACCTTTATATCCTTTCGTTAAGGTGGTGCATCAATATAAACGTGACAATCAAATTGATTGTGATCGTAAAGTAGCCAAACATTTGCAATCTAATGTTCCTATTGGGGAGAAACGCCCAAACACTCAATTAACTGCAGAGAAAACTGATAAAGAGCCTCAGGATTCCACCAGAGAAAGTATTTTACAGAACTGCTTAAAAATCAATGAAATTGTCAAGGCCGATTCAAGCCAACAGGAGACCAAAACTGCTGCAGATAATGAGGTACCCAAAGATGATTGTGCCTTACATCATTTACGCTACAGCATGGATGAGTTAAAGAAAATGAATCAGTTCTCAGCACCCACTTGTCATTAGAGCTATTTGCTGATCATTAGTTGCATTAACTTTTTCTAAATAAATAAAATAGAAAATTAATTTTTTATTAATTTATTTATTAAAAACTTGAAAATTCATTATAAAAAAATTCAAAAATTATTTAAAATTGTATAAAAAATAGCAAAAATATTTAGGTCTCAAACCTTTTTTAAATACATCATAATCTTATTTGTTAATTGTTAACTTATTTTTAGTAAATTTGCAGTAGATTGGTTTGTTGTTAACTTTTTTTAGTTTAAATTATTTTGTTGTTGTTTAATTTGAGATTCTTGTTTAAAAATTAGTTTTTCTTTTAGTTTAAATAAAATTTTTATTTTGTTGATTATAAATATGTTACATTCTTTAGTTTAACCTGCAATTCTGGGAGACCTAGAGGTGAATAAATAAAAAATAATTAAATGAAGATTAGTTAGTAATATTTCAAAAATTCTCTTTTTGTATATAATTATCGAAAATTTGTTTTATAGAAAATTTTGTAAAAACTTACATATATTAAAAACAACTTTTTTTATTGAAAATTTTTCAAAATTTTCTTTTTATAGGGAATTTTCTATAAAATTCCTTTCTATAGGAAATTTTCGATAAATTTCCTTTCTATAGAAAATTTCTCTTCTATAGAAAAATTTCGATAAATTTCCCTTCTATAAATTTCCTTTCTATACGAAATTTTCGATAAATTTTCTTTCTATAGGAAAATTTCGATAAATTTCCCTTCTATAGGAAAATTTCGATAAATTTCCCTCCTATAGGAAAATTTCGATAAATTTCCCTTCTATAGAAAAATTTCGATAAATTTCCCTTCTATAGGAAAATTTCGATAAATTTCCCTTCTATAGGAAAATTTCGATAAATTTCCCTTCTATAGGAAAATTTCGATAAATTTCCCTTCTATAGGAAAATTTCGATAAAATTCCCTTCTATAGGAAAATTTCGATAAAATTCCCTTCTATAGGAAAATTTCGATAAATTTCCCTTCTATAGGAAAATTTCGATAAATTTCCTTTCTATAGAAAATTTTCGATAAATTTCCTTTCTATAGGAAATTTTCGATAAATTTCCTTTCTATAGGAAATTTTCGATAAATATCCTTTCTATAGGAAATTTTCGATAAATTTCCTTTCTATAGGAAATTTTCGATAAATTTCCTTTCTATAGGAAATTTTCGATAAATTTCCTTTCTATAGGAAATTTTCGATAAATTTCCTTTCTATAGGAAATTTTCGATAAATTTCCTTTCTATAGGAAATTTTCGATAAATTTCCTTTCTATAGGAAATTTTCGATAAATTTCCTTTCTATAGGAAATTTTCGATAAATTTCCTTTCTATAGGAAATTTTCGATAAATTTCCTTTCTATAGGAAATTTTCGATAAATTTCCTTTCTATAGGAAATTTTCGATAAATTTCCTTTTATAGGAAATTTTCGATAAATTTCCTTTTTATAGGAACATTTTCGATAAATTTCCTTTTATAGGAACATTTTCGATAAATTTCCTTTTTATAGGAACATTTTCGATAAATTTACTTTTTATAGGAAATTTTCGATAAATTTACTTTTTATAGGAAATTTTCGATAAATTTACTTTTTATAGGAAATTTTCGATAAATTTCCTTTCTATAGGAACATTTTCGATAAATTTCCATTCTATAGGAACATTTTCGATAAATTTCCTTTCTATAGGAACATTTTCGATAAATTGCCTTTCTATAGGAGCATTTCCGATAAATTTCCTTTCTATAGGACATTTCCGATAAATTTCCTTTTTATAGGAACATTTTCGATAAATTTCCTTTTTATAGGAACATTTTCGATAAATTTCCTTTTTATAGGAACATTTTCGATAAATTTCCTTTTTATAGGAACATTTTCGATAAATTTCCTTTTTATAGGAACATTTTCGATAAATTTCTGGAGAATTTTCTTTTTTTTATAAAAAATGTTCGAGAACATTCTCTTTTTATAGAAACTTTACTTTGTTTTAAGAAAATTTTAGAGAAAATTCTCTTTTTTATAAAAGATTTTTTATATATTTCTCTTTTTATAGAAAATTTTAGATAAAATTCTGTTTTGTATAAAAGACTTTCGAGAAATTTCGCTCTTTTATAGAAAATTTTCGAAAATTTCTCTTACCTCCTCCGATTCATCGATAACAACTTTGTTTTAATACGTTTACGATCTCTAGCAATAATATCCATACGTTCCCTTACAGAAGTTTGAAAGAAAACCAAATGAAATGTACGACAGGCAGATGATAACTATAAATTAAAACAAGAAAATAAAACATATAAAACAATTAAAATATCAAACACACACCTGTTGTAAAAGTCTTGCTTTTAACTTAATATTGGCCGGGGTTTGTGATTCCTCGGGATTCTCCATAGTTTCTATGTGTAAATTTAAAACAAATATCAAAGTATCACGTATTGTTTGAACAATACGTTGAATTTGTTCGGTTTGAAAAAGACGACGTACTAGAAAACCTCGAGCACAAGCATTTATTTTGGTGGCAGCAGCATGCAAGATTAAGGAATTATCTGCTAAGGGCTAATTATGAGTTTTATATTAAAAATAACACAAAAAGATTATTATTTTCAATTTAGTTCAAAAATTGGTTTCAAATTTTATTTATTATATAAAAAATATTAACAAAATATTTTAAATTAGTAAATTTATTAATAATTTAAAAGGAAAATTAGTTGATTATATAATTTGTTATAAATATTAAAGGGTGCTAAAAATATATTATGAGCATATAAGAGGGAGAGTTTTACTTTATTGTTGTTATTTTTTTAGTAATTTTTAATAACTACTTTTTAGTTGGTGGTTTTTTTTATAATTTTTAATAAGGCACATTTATATATTAGATGTTATTATTGTAAATAAATTATTGTTTTAATACTTGAGTGGGATTAATCATTTAAATAGTTAAGGTGCACTTGAGCTTGGAATTTATTTTCTAAATTGCTCCAGTTGTAGTTAGGAGTGTCTACAGTTAATTAAGTCTTGAGTTTTTTTGTTTTTTTTTTGCTACTTATTTTAAATTCTTATAAATCCTTGGGTTAGTTTTACATTTTAGTAATGAAGCTTGATAGAAACGATAGAAGAAAAGTTGAAAATTAATCAGATTTCTTAGAAAGATTTACTGTTGAATTTATTTGAAATAACGTTAACTTTGGAGTGGTAGACCTTTATTAACATCAAATCTTTCTCACTATAAAAAATTTCAAAAATTCTCTCTTTTCTCCTTATAGATACATATCCAAAAAATTACTTTTTTGTAGAAAGTGTCTCTTCTCTTATAAAAATTTCTCTTATAAAAATTTTTCGAAAATTTCTCTTATAAAAATTTTTCGAAAATTTCTATTTTTATAGAAAATTTTCGAAAATTTCTCTTTTTATAGAAAATTTTCGAAAATTTCTCTTTTTATAGAAAATTTTCGAAAATTTCTCTTTTTTATAGAAAATTTTCGAAAATTTCTCTTTTTTATAGAAAATTTTCAAAAATTTCTCTTTCTTATAGAAAATTTTCGAAATTTTATCCTTTTTATAGAAAATTCCTCCTTTCTGTAGAAAACTTTCGAAAATTTCTCATTTTTTATAGAAAATTTTCGAAAATGTCTCTTTTTTATAGAAAATGTCTCTTTTTTATAGAAAATTACTCCTTTCTATAGAAAACATTCGAAAATCTCATTTTTTATAGAAAATTTTGGAGAATTTCTCTTTTTTATAGAAAATTTTCGAAAATTTCTCTTTTATATAGAAAATTTTCAAAAATTTCTCTTTCTTATAGAAAATTTTCAAAAATTTCTCTTTCTTATAGAAAATTTTCGAAATTTTATCCTTTTTATAGAAAATTCCTCCTTTCTGTAGAAAACTTTCGAAAATTTCTCATTTTTTATAGAAATTTTTCGAAAATGTCTCTTTTTTATAGAAAATTCCTCCTTTCTATAGAAAACATTCGAAAATCTAATTTTTTATAGGAAATTTTGGAGAATTTCTCTTTTTTATAGAAAATTTTCGAAAATTTCTCTTTTATATAGAAAATTTTCAAAAAATTCTCTTTCTTATAGAAAATTTTCGAAATTTTCTCTTTTTTATAGAAAATTGCTCCTTTCTATAGAAAATTTTCGAAAATTTCTCTTTTGTATAGAAAATTTCTCTTTTTTATAAAAAATTTTCGAAAATTTCTCTTTTTTATAGAAAATTTTCAAAAATTTCTCTTTCTTATAGAAAATTTTCGAAATTTTATCCTTTTTATAGAAAATTCCTCCTTTCTGTAGAAAACTTTCGAAAATTTCTCATTTTTTATAGAAAATTTTCGAAAATGTCTCTTTTTTATAGAAATTTTTCGAAAATGTCTCTTTTTTATAGAAATTTTTCGAAAATGTCTCTTTTTTATAGAAAAATTGCTCCTTTCTATAGAAAATTTTCGAAAATTTCTCTTTTGTATAGAAAATTTCTCTTTTTTATAGAAAATTTTGGAAAATTTCTCTTTTTTATAGAAAATTTTCAAAAATTTCTCTTTCTTATAGAAAATTTTCGAAATTTTATCCTTTTTATAGAAAATTCCTCCTTTCTGTAGAAAACTTTCGAAAATTTCTCATTTTTTTATAGAAAATTTTCGAAAATGTCTCTTTTTTATAGAAATTTTTCGAAAATGTCTCTTTTTTATAGAAAATTCCTCCTTTCTATAGAAAACATTCGAAAATTTCATTTTTTATGGAAAATTTTGGAGAATTTCTCTTTTTTATATAAAATTTTCGAAAATTTCTCTTTTATATAGAAAATTTTCAAAAATTTCTCTTTCTTATAGAAAATTTTCGAAATTTTCTCTTTTTTATAGAAAATTGCTCCTTTCTATAGAAAATTTTCGAAAATTTCTCATTTTTTTATAGAACATTTTCGAAAATGACACTTTTTTATAGAAATTTTTCAAAAATTTATCTTTTTTATAGAAAATTCCTCCTTTCTATAGAAAACTTTCGAAAATTTCTCATTTTTTACAGAAAATTTTCGAAAATGTCTCTTTTTTATAGAAATTTTTCGAAAATTCTCTTTTTTATAGAAAATTCCACCTTTCTATAGAAAACATTCGAAAATCTCATTTTTTATAGAAAATTTTGGAGAATTTCTCTTTTTTATAGAAAATTTTCGAAAATTTATTTTTTTTTTGGAAATTTTCAAAAATCTCTCTAAAATTTCTCTCTTTTATATAAAATTTCTCATTTACGTAAAGTTATCCACTCCTTAGCCATTACGTTTTTCATTTAAATGCAAAATTTTAAAAAGTAGTTTTAACTACAATAAGCATTAGTCGATAATTAATAAAATTTAAAACTTACACGTCTATTACTATCATTATTGGTCAGAGCAGACTTTGGACTTCTATTCGAATCATCTGGCCGAAGGCCCGAAGAATGTGATGAGCTGCCGGTAGAACGGGATGTCAGATTATTTCTCTCACAGCCTATATCATTCATTTCGGTAAATAATCTGCGTCGTGATGATGATGTCGTATTAACAGCATTATTTTGTGTAGTAGGTGTAGCACACAATGTATCGGGAGAAGTTTGAGTTGATAGCGTGGAAATATCCAAAGAAGTATTAGCATTTGAATGATCAATTGTAGTTAAAAGGGAATTATTGAAAGGAATGGTTTGCGACGTTTGAGTATAATGAGAGCCATATGATGAATGTTGGGAATTAGTAGTTAATGAATCATTTTTAGCCATGGATACATATGAACTATTATTACTAATTGATGAAGGAGAAGGCTGTTGTGTTTGTTGTTTAGCATAAGACTTTGGTTGTTTAAAGTCATATGAAGGAGTTGTAGGCTTTTTAGGACAGGTTTCAGATGAAAGTCCTGTTAAATTCAATTGATTTTGTAATTGAGGCGAAAGAGGTTGTTGTTCTTGTCTTTTAAAATGCAATGTTGAATTTATAGCAGAAGAATTGTAAGAATTATTGGGAGATTTTAATTGTGCTGAAGCCATTTCTCGGTTAAGTTGTTCGATTAACATTTTCTGTTGCATTTCAAAGGATTGTTGCAATTTTCGGTGTTCTTCTTCCTGTTGTGCCAATAAACGCATAAATTTATCTTTTTGTAACTTATCCATTTGGCTAATGGAACCATTGCCATTTTGAGGAGTTCTGGCTGAATTGGATGCTGTAGATGTAGGAGTGGATGTGTGTGATGTAATTTTAGTTTTGGAGGTTTTATTTTGAGCCAAATTATTTGATGTGGAATTTGATTTACGCATTTGTGTCCCAGATGTCTTTTGTAATGTTTGTAGGGAGGTATGAGAAGTTTTTGAAATGTCATAGGGTGATCTTTTGGTTTTATACAAATTATTAGTGGTATGCTGGGTTAGGGCGGTGGTATTATAGGGGGATATAGAGGCTACAGCAGCCTGTGCCAATTTACTTTGTGAGACTTTCTGTTGAGTCTTTAGTTTGGATGACTTAAGTTCCACTTTTTGCACTTTCTTGGCTTTTGATTCGACCGTATCCCGGTGGGCTCTTAAGGGTGAAGATATGGTCTTCCTAACTATAGAACGTGTTGTATTTAATGGAGATTTAACGGCAGTTTTGTTTTCAGTAATAGTTTTTTGTTGTTGCATATGATCGATAAGAGCTTTTGAAGGTCCCTCTAAGGTGAAGGATGATGAACGTACTAAATTATTTTCTGGTGAATTGTCTGAATCTTGAGCTAAACTTTGTGATCTGGATGAAGATGAACGATTGCTGTTGGGTAGTTTGATGGAAGGACTAGTAGCTGAACGACTCATAGTACCAGTTGTAGTTCCTAAACAAGATTTTCGACTCTTATATAATTTCTCCGGACTTGTGTGAGGACTATTGGTATCACTGCTGATGGCCTCAAATTGTTGAATTTTGGCGGATACATTTTTCACCGGAGTCAAAGGTTTTCTTTCAGCACTAACACCTCTTTCAGGTTTTATATTATTTTTGCTAATTCTTCGCGTTGACCTTTTATCGGATTGTGTTATCATACTGCTAAAACTTTCATCTGAACTATAATCTTCTTGTAACAAATTATTTGGTTTTTCGGAGATAATCAAAGACTCGCTACTGCCTGCAGCGCTTAAAGTCTCACACATGGGCCTATTAATCGTTAAGGGTGTGGGAGGATTAAGACATATTGAAGGTATAGCCGCCATTCCTTTACCATTTACCCCCGCCAATAGCAAATGACTGGGCTTTTTGGGTAGCTCATAGTTAATGTTAGTTTTACGTTCAGTTTCCTTAATATTTGTCCTTTGATCTTCAAATATTTTTTTGTCTTTATCAGCTGGTACTTGTATTACTTCATTTGTAGAGTTATCATAGATTAATATTTCTGATTTTTGTAATTTTTGCAATTTTTCCTGATTATCATCTCGCTGAAAATGTGTTGTGGTGTTGCATGCAGTGTTCACAGTTTCTTTAGTAGTTTCTTCTATACCTCCTGATTGTCTTTTCATTAAACTCTGTAATAACTGCATAGATTCTTCTGTTTCTTTAAGTTTACTTTCATAGTAATCTTGGGAACGTTGGGAGATGTTACCAGCACCTGCATTGTGTAATGAGGAGCGCGAGGATTCACTTTTTATATCTTCATTTATAAGATTATTTTCTCCATGCCCTCGTTGTTTTCGTTCTCGTATGCGTTGTTCTATTTTTAAGGCTTTATCTTTTAGCTTTTGCATTTGTCGTCGTTTTTCGGTTGTCATCTGGAAGATGAAAAAAAATTTCATTATTTTAATTCAAATTAGACTATAGACCAGACTATAGTCAGGACTCTAATCCATACAAAGGACTAGAATGTAATCAAGTCTAGTCAAGACTATAGACTAGAATATATTCAAGACTAAAGACGAGACTATAGTCCAGACTTTAGATTATTGTGTAGATAATAGATAAAATGAACAGCCTATAGACTAGACAAGAGTCCTGACTTTACCACAGGCTATACACTAGACTCTAGTCAAGACTAACGATACTTCTAACTAAATACTAGTCTAACTAGTCGATAGCCAGACTATCGACAAGAATATCCAATTGACAGTTTAAGTATTATGTATTTATCCAAATTTTTTAAACTGTCCCACTGTACACAGTTTATGCATCATTCAATTTTTATAATTTAAATATTTACAATTAAACAATTATACTTCTAAAAATATTAATCGCAAATTTAAAAAATCTGTTCCATTGCTATTAACCTAGGGTGTGTAGAAAGAAGTCTTGGAAAAAAAAAACAGCAAATAAACATAAATCTCCTTCACGCTTGAATTAAAACTAATTCTAATTCCCATATGTACTCGTACAGAATATCTGTATTTACCTATTTCATACATAGAACTACAACTAATAAATATACTCACCAGTGGCGGTAAAATGGGTTCACCATCTATACGGAAAATTGATACATATTTGCGTGGCGGTGGTAGAGGAGGTTCTCCTCCAATATTTTCTAAATTTTCCATATTTGCTAGGTCATCTACATAGAAATGTTGCTGCTGCAATTGTAGTTGTTGTTGTTGCAAGTTTTGCATAAAAGCCTCCATGGGGTAAAACAAAAAGACAATTTTGCAAGAAAATAAATGAAAATTTACTATAAAATACACTTAAACACAATTCACACACTAGTTTTTATATAATTTTAATAAATTATTAATAATTATGTGCTGTTTTTCGTTAATTTAATTAATAATGCATCTAAATGGAATTCTATTGCCAGTTGTCGTTGGTTTGACATGAATTTATTAACTTACTATTCCCGCATTCAATTTTGTTTGTTTGTGTTCATTTTCCTGATCGGTTTTTGTTGTTGTGGGTTACTATGGTTACTCGAAAATATTATGATTTGTCTGTTAATTTATTTGTTTATATTTGTATGCTGTTATTATTTTGTTTATTTGGAGCGAATTTTTTGTTTGCGGTCACAAATTGGATTCAAATTTTCACGGTTCGGCGCAGTTCAAGTTAGGGTTCTATAAATCGACATTCAAATAATCGAACTATAGACTTTTTGTCGAAAAAAGTCAAAGTCGACTATTTTGTTCCAAAATGTCGTTAACTCGACTATCGTCTATGAAAAAAGTCGAAAAAAAATCGAAAAGTCGTAAAAATTCGAAGAAAGTCGAAAATAGTCGAAAAGTCTTAATAAGTCGAAAAGTCGGAAAAAGTCGAAGATAGTTGGAAAAAGTCGAAAACTCGAAAATAGTAGAAAAAATCAAAAACAGTCGAAAATTTGAAATACGTGGAAAAAAAGTCAAAAACTCTAATCTAAAATAGTCGAAAAGTCGGTTAAAGTTGAAAAAATGTCGGAAAAAGGAGGAAAAAGTCGAAGAGTTGGAATAAGTCGGAAAAGTTCGAAAACTATTCGACTATTTATAAAATACTAAAAGTCGAAAAGTTAAAATTCGACTTTTAATTAAATGAAAAAAGTCGAAAAATCGAGTTTTCATAAAATGCAAAAAGTCGAAAAGTCGACTTTTAACTAAACGCAAAAAGTCGAAAAAAATCGAAGTCATAAAAATTCGAAGAAATTCGAAAATAGTCGAAAAGTCGTAATAAGTCGAAAAGACGGAAAAAGTCGAAGATAGTTGGAAAAAGTCGAAAACTCGAAAATAGTAGAAAAAATCAAAAACAGTCGAAAATTCGAAATACGTGGAAAAAAGTCAAAAACTCTAATCTAAAATAGTCGAAAAGTCGGTTAAAGTTGAAAAAATGTCGGAAAAAGGAGGAAAAAGTCGAAGAGTTGGAAAAAGTCGGAAAAGTTCGAAAACTATTCGACTATTTATAAAATACTAAAAGTCGAAAAGTTAAAAGTCGACTTTTAATTAAATGAAAAAAGTCGAAAAATCGAGTTTTCATAATATGCAAAAAGTCGAAAAGTCGACTTTTAACTAAACGCAAAAAGTCGAAAAAAATCGAAAAGTCGTAAAAATTCGAAGAAATTCGAAAATAGTCGAAAAGTCGTAATAAGTCGAAAAGACGGAAAAAGTCGAAGATAGTTGGAAAAAGTCGAAAACTCGAAAATAGTAGAAAAAATCAAAAACAGTCGAAAATTCGAAATACGTGGAAAAAAGTCAAAAACTCTAATCTAAAATAGTCGAAAAGTCGGTTAAAGTTGAAAAAAAGTCGAAAAAGTCGATGAGTCGGAAAAATTCGAAAACTATTTGACTATTTATAAAATACTAAAATTCGAAAAGTTAAAAGTCGACTTTTAATTAAATGAAAAAAGTCGAAAAATCGAGTTTTCATAAAATGCAAAAAGTCGAAAAGTCGACTTTTAACTAAACACAAAAAGTCGAAAATCATTTCAACTGTAGAACCCTAGTTCAAGTGTATTTTTAAACGATCAGCTGTTTTGTTTACCAACAACAGCGTGTTGCCAAATTGTTAAGATTTATCTTATGTCAGTGTTGGGTGAAAAAGTTTAAAAATTATTATTATTAAAGTTTTCAGTTAATTTTTTAAATTTTTTCATAACTTCAAAATTTCAGTTGGTAATGGTGTACAGCTTTTATTTATTATTTATTTAATTTTCCTTTGATGTTTTACCAAATTGTATATATTTTCAAATTATTCAACAACAAACACATCTTTTAAGTTTATGACCTCTTGAAATTGTTTTCGCTGTAAATTCTATAGCTACTGAAATATCGGACAAACTAACTGATTCCTCACTACATTTATCGCCCATTAATAATAGATTTTTTCGAAACTGCTTAACACCTTCATCGCTGTCTTGAGAACAAGATTTATTGGCAATTGCATTTAAGGCTTTTTGTACTGCGGCATTTTCGCTGGAGGTTTCAGTTGAGGAAAAGTCTTCATGAAATTCCTGCAGTGTCTCCAAAAAAACATCTTGAAAAGCGCACATTTCCAAAAAATAAAATACAAATTTTGTTTGAAAATTATTAGTGTTACCATATATATTTAAATTTTATAACGAATATTTGTAAAAACAACAGTGGCATGCCAAATTTTATGTAATACGAATTTTAGCTGTTTCGTAACAAATTGAGACGTTTGTCAGTGTTTTTTTCGTGATATATAATAATACGATATAGGAATTCGTTGGATTAATTGTTTAAGAAATTTAATAAACATCTTCATAAAACGTTTAAAAATAAAAATTCCGTTATTTATTAGAATTAACATTTTTAATCTAGCTGGCAGCACTAAAAAAGTTACTCATATAACTATTGTGAATTATTATGATTTGTTGACATAAAAAAGCAAACAAAAAAATTGCGGGAATATACAGCACATTGTGAATCAATATTTTAAAAGCCACAAACATTTTCATAAAATCATGTAATATTTCTTAAATTTTTAAATTAAAACGCGCACGAATATAATTTAAAATGAACACAGCCAAACGATTAATATCACCTTTCAAAGAACACAACGAAAGTGCGGCCAAAAAAATAAAAGTACAAATGTCTGAGGACTTCAAGGCAGAAACAATCGATGAAAAATCCGTAGACAAGGAAGAAAATTATGATTTTCTCTTTGACGAGGAGGATGATTTCGATTTGTCTGCCTTTGAAACAGCAGAAAAGGATGTGGTTAAAGAAAAGTTGGATTTATCAAAATGGAAAAGGTGTTTAGTGAAGGAAGTGGAAAGGGATAAGAAAACATTTGCTTTAGTATTAAAAGTGAGTGGCAAAAATGGGCGGGAAATGGGTGATGCTGAACAAGAAGCTGAAGCCAAGTGTCATTTGCAAGGACCTTGGTGTCATACCAGAATTTCGGTGGAAGATGTGGTGTCTTTGCTAGGTGAATGGGATGATAGTTTGCAGGCCTATAAAGTAGATAAGGATCAAGGTTTCTGTGTTATAAATCCGGATACCTTAATTTCGGGCACCAGTGTGGTGGGATCTTTGTTTTGTAGAAGAAAGGCAGTGCTGCAAGATCGTTTTAGGGGTATAGATGCTAATAACAAAGTAGTGAGTATCATCAACCAAAGTAGAAATAAATTAAAAGTTTTTATCATTAATTAAATATTAATTTTAGATGGTTATTGGTTCCTTGGTGCATGAACTTTTACAAATTGTTTTGGAAAAAGACCTTAAAGAACTCAAAGACATAGAAAAACTAGCTCATGACCTGCTCAATTCCCAGGAGACTGCCTTCATGTTATATGGCAGCCAATTAACACGTGAAGATACCACCATGGAAGTTTTACAATTTGTGCGCAGTATACATCAATTTATGCAACAGTATGTGGATGAAAAATTATCCTCCTCATTTCCTCTACAAAAGGAAAGTTTTCAAGGTCGCATAACTGAGATACAAGACATAGAAGAAAACCTTTGGATACCGCAATTAGGTCTTAAAGGTAAAATAGATGTTTCGGTTAAAATACATCCACGCCGTCAAAAAGGACAATTGGCCAATTTTCTTAAACAGCAGGAAAAGGTGGTGCCTTTAGAATTGAAAACCGGTAGAGCTAGTTTTTCCATGGAACACAAAGGACAACTAATACTCTATCAAATGATGTTAAGCGCTTTAGGGAAACCCACAGAATCGGGCCTTTTACTGTATTTAAGAGAAAACTTAATGCGTGAAATTTTGGGCTCCAGAAATGAGCAAAGAGATTTAATAGGTTTACGCAATGACTTAAGCCACTATTTATCAAATTTCCCCGACTTTGCCACACAGCCCGCAGATTTAGCTTTACCAGAAGAGAAGTTTATACAACCCTTTGAATTGCCCGAACCCATATCACATCCCACCGCCTGTGCTCAATGTGCTTATGCCACTATATGCTGTTCATTTGCTAAAACCGATTCTTCCTTGGAACTTAGAGCCAGTCATCCTTTAAATAAAGTATCTTCGGATAGTATTTCTCATTTAACTGCCAAGGATTATGAGTATTTTATGAAATGGTGTCATTTATTAATGATGGAAGAACAGGAAGCCAGAAAATCCAACTATTTAAGAGCTCTTTGGTGTCAAACTCCCGAAAATCGCCAAGAAATGGGTAGAGCAATTTGTAATTTAAAAATTTCTCAACAGCCGATTGAAAAAGAAGAATCCCGCTATAAACATACATTTGTTTTAGAGTCAAACAATTCGAATGGTAGTGCAGAGGATGGTAATGTGGAAGATGGTGATATTTTGGATTTAACTTTAAGTGGGGTAAGTACTTTTTCATCATAAATTTACTTTTTCTCCTCAATATTACAATTTCATCTCAAAATTACTTTTTCATCTTAAAATTACTTTTTCACCTCAAAGTTTCTTTTTACAACTTTTTCACTATAAATCAGTTTTTTTTTAAAATTGTTTTCTTTATTTTCATTTTCAGTTCTCCGTTGGTGAATATGTTATTGTTTCAACACCTCAACGCTTAGCCATTGCAGCTGGCTTTGTGCTTGACTTAAGCCCAACTTCCATAACCGTTAGTTTAGAGCGTAATCTATTACAAAATTATAAACAACAAACATTTATCATTGATAAACATGACTCACACTCGGGAAATGTATTTAATTTTACCAATTTGGGTTTGCTACTAGATAACACTGAACGTTCCTCGCTGCTAAGACAAATAATAATAGAAAAACAGCCTCCCAGCTACCACAAAGTCTTGCCCAAGATAATAGCCACCGAAGGAGCGGAAATATTGAAGCAACTAAATGTTGTCCAAAGAGCTGCAGTCTTGAAAGCCTTGACTACACAAAGTTTTATGCTGATAAAAGGTTTACCCGGTACGGGTAAAACTCAAACACTGGTGGCCATTGTACGTCTCTTGCATTTAATGGGTAAATCTGTATTAATTACCTCCCACACTCACTCTGCTGTGGATAATCTTTTGTTGCGTTTGAAAGATCACCAATTGCCCTTCTTACGTTTGGGCTCTTCGGCACGAGTTAATGCACAACTAAAGAATCATAGTGAAACAATTTTAACGGCCAATTGTAAAACTGAAGCTGAACTATCAAAACTTTATGATTCTTATCAAATTGTCGGTGTCACTTGTTTGGGTTCTTCACATGCTATATTTTTACATCGCCGCTTCGATTTCTGTATAGTGGATGAAGCTACACAGGTTATGCAGCCCACAGTATTAAGACCTTTATTCTTTTCACAACGTTTTATACTAGTAGGAGATCCCGATCAATTGCCGCCCTTAATACGTTCTCCTTTGGCCAGACAAAAAGGAGCAGATGAGTCTTTATTTCAACGTCTAGATTGTACAGAAGCCACCTCTGTCCTAACCCTACAATATCGTATGAATAAAACTATAACTAAGTTGGCTAATGAATTGACATATCAAGGATCCCTGCAATGTGGTTCTAATGAAGTTAAGAGCGCTATTATGTACAAGCCCATTAACCAAACTTTCGTGAAAGAAAAATGGCTACAGCGTGTTTTACAAACTCATGTAGATCAATCAGTTTTTCTCTTAGACACTCTCGACTGTTCGGAAAGATCTTATAATTTTGCCAAAACTAAACATAGTGCTACTTGTTCACTGATAGAAACAACCTTCAACGAAGAACAATTGCCCGGGGAATTGTTAAACAAATCACCCACAAAAACTTCTAAACGTTTGTCAAAATATACCAACTATTGCGAGGCTGCCTTAGTATTTCGTGTGGTCACTGCTCTTTTAAATTGTCAATATGATCCACAACGTATTGGTGTAGTGGCTCCTTATAGAGCTCAAGTGGAACTTTTAAAAAAGTTGGTTCTACAGCATCATGAATACTATGAAAAATCTTCTAAAGAAAATAAATCTACCCTAGATTTCTCCTCTGTGGAAGTAAATACTGTTGATCAGTATCAAGGTAGAGATAAAGATATTATCATTTACTCTTGTTCACGTACGGGTTCTTCAGCCAATAAAAACATGGAACGTAATCGTGATGCTGAAATTCTAGAAGATAAACGTCGTCTTACTGTAGCCATTACCCGTTCAAAACATAAACTTATTATAGTGGGTGATGCCGCCTGCATACAGCAATATACACCTTTTCAAACTTTACTCCAGCATATACCTGGTTTCTGTAAACTAAAATTAGAAGATGATAAATTGGGTTTCCAGTGGTCAGCAGTAATGGAAGATTTATCTCGTGTGATTAATGCAACATGAGAAAAGGTTTGTTTTTTTATCGTTTTAAGGTTTTTACAAAATTTTATTTATATCTGGATTTCAAATTAATTTTTAGCGATTTTTAATTATAAAATTATTTAATAAAATAATATTTTTTTGCACTTTATTTTTTCTTTAATTGTAGGTAAGCAAAAACGACTTATTTCAAAAATTCCATTTAAACAAGAATCAAACTATAGGAATACTTATATGTAGGAATACTATCTGACAATTTTTAGAGAATTAAGAACTAACAAATTAACAGCAAATTTAAAATCAAGATACCCATTAAATGGAATGTCATTTGCGTCTTTGTTTCATGTGAGTATTATTTCCATGAAATGTAATTGTTATTATAGCAAGAAATAAATTTAAAACGCAATATGTACATGTTATTCAGAAGAACTACTTCAGAAATATTTAAAAGGATTCCACTTTAAACTTATCTATGCATATAAATGAGTCGCGTTACTAACAGCGCACAGCCCAAAAAACAGAACTTAGAATTATGATATTTTGACAGCAGATGATGTACTTATGGTCGTGTTAAAGAAGGATTTTTGGAAATAGGAATATTTCGGGAATAAAGGGATAATTCGGTTAAGTTTCGTCTATAGTCCACTCTATTGTCTAGTCTATAGTCCACTCTATAGTCTAGTCTATAGTCTAGTCTATAGTCTAGTCTATAGTCTAGTCTATAGTCTAGTCTATAGTCTAGTCTATAGTCTAGTCTATAGTCTAGTCTATAGTCTAGTCTATAGTCTAGTCTATAGTCTAGTCTATAGTCTAGTCTATAGTCTAGTCTATAGTCTAGTCTATAGTCTAGTCTATAGTCTAGTCTATAGTCTAGTCTATAGTCTAGTCTATAGTCTAGTCTATAGTCTAGTCTATAGTCTAGTCTATAGTCTAGTCTATAGTCTAGTCTATAGTCTAGTCTATAGTCTAGTCTATAGTCTAGTCTATAGTCTAGTCTATAGTCTAGTCTATAGTCTAGTCTATAGTCTAGTCTATAGTCTAGTCTATAGTCTAGTCTATAGTCTAGTCTATAGTCTAGTCTATAGTCTAGTCTATAGTCTAGTCTATAGTCTAGTCTATAGTCTAGTCTATAGTCTAGTCTATAGTCTAGTCTATAGTCTAGTCTATAGTCTAGTCTATAGTCTAGTCTATAGTCTAGTCTATAGTCTAGTCTATAGTCTAGTCTATAGTCTAGTCTATAGTCTAGTCTATAGTCTAGTCTATAGTCTAGTCTATAGTCTAGTCTATAGTCTAGTCTATAGTCTAGTCTATAGTCTAGTCTATAGTCTAGTCTATAGTCTAGTCTATAGTCTAGTCTATAGTCTAGTCTATAGTCTAGTCTATAGTCTAGTCTATAGTCTAGTCTATAGTCTAGTCTATAGTCTATAGTCTAGTCTATAGTCTAGTCTATAGTCTAGTCTATAGTCTAGTCTATAGTCTAGTCTATTGTCTAGTCTATAGTCTAGTCTATAGTATAGTCTATAGTCTACTCTATAGTCTAGTCTATAGTCTAGTATATAGTCTAGTCTATAGTCTACTCTATAGTCTAGTCTATAGTCTAGTCTATAGTCTAGTCTATAGTCTAGTCTATAGTCTAGTCTATAGTCTAGTCTAGTCTATAGTCTAGTCTATAGTCTAGTATATAGTCTAGTCTATAGTCTAGTCTATAGTTTAGTCTATAGTCTAGTCGATATTATAATCTATAGTTTAGTCTATAGTCTAGTCTATAGTCTAGTCTATAGTCTAGTCTATAGTCTAGTCTAGAGTCTAGTCTATAGTCTAGTCTATAGTCTAGTCTATAGTCTAATCTATAGTGTAGTCTATAGTCTAGTCTATAGTTTAGTCTATAGTTTAGTCTATAGTCTTCTGATGATACCAGAAATGAGAGAATTTAACCCGCTAAAACAACATCGATTTACCACGCTCCCAATTTAACGATTAGTTACTCTATTAAGTTCGAAAGAGCTAGGTCCATAATTGACCTAAGCCCTCATTAAGGATCATTTTCCGAAAATAACCCTGATGTTTGTATTAATATCAATATAATGTATCATATAACAAAAGGGTCAATTCATAAAGATTTAAGTCCATAGGTTCTTCCAAAATTCACTTTATTTTAATGGTTTATAATAAAGTGTATTATGAAATAAAACAGGATCTCCCTAATTATTAAAAAAAAACTTTTCCTCTAATTGACAAACACTTGACATTTAAACAATCGATTATAATCAACTCATCTTCAAAATATTGACGCAAATAAGTCGCGACATTTCAATCTAAAGATGAAAAACAACTCAAACATAATCCTAGTAAACTGACAAAGTTTATCTAATCATAGATTAATATACAATCTCTAAACTTTACAGTTGATTGAACGGCATTTAATACAATATAATACTTTTTTTCCATTTTTACGCATTATGGGGATTCGCAATGACATAAATACTATTTGCAAGCATTCAAGCCGATTTAGCATTATGAAAATATCATACAACCAGGTGTCAATTGTTGCAATAGACATATAACAGCAGCAGAGCCAACAAAAAATAACTGTAACCCGTAATCAATATTTAAAAATTCAATAACATTTAATAAACAAACCGAAAAAACTTAAACGCAAAAGTAATAAAAATTTTATTTTTAGTTAGTGAAAGTGATCATACCAGTCAGTTGTCATTCATGGATTCATGTAATCCTCCCGTTTCGTCTTTTTGTTTATTTTATAACAATAATTGTGGACGACAACGATTCTTCTCTTCACCCCATTGAGACAATAAATGACATACAAACTTATACAAAATAAATACTACAATTATTTTTACAAATCCAAAGAAGTACAAAGTAGATTTGAGCGACTATTTTTAATTTTGTTATTTGAAGAGTGTACGGTATTTGATTGACAGAAACAGTAGCAAAAAAGTACTCGTAAATCTCGTTGTAGCACCCAACAAACAATAAATTAGGAATATAGAAATATGAGACTTTTTCTATAGAAAAAGTGTCTCCAGTAGCGACAGTTTTTCTATAGAAAAAGTGTCTCCAGTAGAGACAGTTTTTCTATACAAAAAAGTGTCTCCAGTAGCGACAGTTTTTCTATACAAAAAAGTGTCTCCAGTAACGACAGTTTTTCTATAGAAAAAGTGTCTCCAGTAGCGACAGTTTTTCTATAGAAGAAGTGTCTCCAGTAGCGACAGTTTTTCTATAGAAAAAGTGTCTTCAGCAGCGACAGTTTTTCTATAGAAAGAGTGTCTCCAGTAGCGACAGTTTTCCCATAGAAAAAGTGTCTCCAGTAGCGACAGTTTTCCTATAGAAAAAGTGTCTCCAGTAGCGACAGTTTTTCTATAGAAAAAGTGTCTCCAGTAGCGACAGTTTTTCTATAGAAAAAGTGTCTCCAGTAGCGACAGTTTTTCTATAGAAAAAGTGTCTCCAGTAGCGACAGTTTTTCTATAGAAAAAGTGTCTCCTGTAGCGACAGTTTTTCTATAGAAAAAGTGTCTCCTGTAGCGACAGTTTTTCTATAGAAAAAGAGTCTCCTGTAGCAACAGTTTTTGTATAGAAAAAGTGTCTCCTGTGGCGACAGTTTTTCTATAGAAAAAATATCTCCTGTAGCGACAGTTTTTCTATAAAAAAAAGTGTCTCCAGTGGCGACAGTTTTCCTATAGAAAAAGTGTCTCCTGTAGCGACAGTTTTTCTATAGAAAAAGTGTCTCCTGTAGCGACAGTTTTTCTATAGAAAAAGTGTCTCCAGTAGCGACAGTTTTTCTATAGAAAAAGTGACACCTGTAGCGACAGTTTTTCTATAGAAAAAGTGTCTCCTGTAGCGACAGTATTTCTATAGCAAAAGTGTCTCCAGTAGTGACAGTTTTTCTATAGAAAAAGTGTCTCCAGTTGCGACAGTTTTTCTATAGAAAAAGTGTCTCCAGTAGCCACAGTTTTTCTATAGAAAAAGTGTCTCCAGTAGCGACAGTTTTTCTATAGAAAAAGTGTCTCCAGTAGCGACAGTTTTTCTATAGAAAATATGTTTCCAATATAGATGTTTCCATAGGAAAAATAGTCTCTATAGAAAATTACCTTCCAAGAACGACTTTTTCTATAGAGAGAGTCTATAGAAGAGTATCTCCATAAAAAAGACTTATTTTTGTATAGAAAAAGTATCACTCAAAGTGGAGAGTGTCTTCTATAGGAAGGAACAAAGTTTTCAAAAGAATAGCTTTTTTCATGTCTACAGAAAAGTGCTTCCCAACAGAGGAAGGCTTTTTCTATAGAAGATACATGACGAAGACTTCTTGTTGTATAGAGTTATATTTTGTTCGCTGGTTATTCCCAACTAATAATTTCTACTTTATGTCACTGGAGTTTGTTATAGTTGTCATTGTTGTTATTGTTTCTAACAAACAGTTGTACTCCAAGTAGTGATAGTTGTCGTCATTGTTGTTTTCTTCAATTTTTTTTGTACATCTTGTAGGCCCAGAGACATGTATTTTATTACACACTTTACAATTGTAGATGATTACGATGTTATTGGGTAATAATAACGATGACAAATAAAAAAAGAAAAACTTTTAAAACTATAACAACATCACGATTTAACAGGAAGTATTATAATTTCTTTATTAATTCGATGCAGCTCAATAAACAAAGTTCCAATAACCTAAAAATGTCGGTATGCCACTAGAAAAGAGATTAAATAACGTTACGCACATATCAATTGTAAGGAAATGTACAAAAAAAAATAACACAATTTAAAGTGTAATTTTAAAACAAAAGGAAAATTCAATGAATTTATGAACTTACCTAAAGATCATACCACAAAAACAAATTTAGGATTGATTTGATCAATTTTACTTGATCACAAATGCGAAAATAGCGAGTTTATAGATCAAAGCTTTCATTAGAACGGATTGGGCTTTTTATTTCTAACTTTTTTTAGCAATGATTTTCCTATTATTTCTCCTTAGCATATAAATTACATATTTCTCTTCTTATAATTGCAATAATTTTACTAAAGATTTTTGTTATTTAAATTTGGAATATGTTAAAATGATAGATTGTTGTTGTACGTCATTTACTTAGTTTAATGAAATTGTATTGGTTATGTAAGAAAATAATTTA